GCTGGTCCTCGACGCGGCCTGTGGCACCGGGCTCGTGGCCCAGGAGGTAAGGGAAGCTGCGCAGCAGGAGCTGCGGGCGGGCTGGGCCGCACGGGGGGCTTCTGCCTGCCCCGTGCTGGGAGGGCAGGGAGCTGGTCCTGCCTGCCTGGCTCCCTGCCGCCCTTTTTTTTTTGCAAAAAAAAGAAAAAAAAATTATATATATCCACCTCCAACACTGCCAACTGGCCCTTGTGGTTCCCTTGGTAGCTCAAAGCACACTAAAAACCCATTACACAGTTTGCACCGCACCACCACGCACTTATCCCTATACCCGTACCCCCACCCACTCTCCTCCTCAGCGGGGCTGCTCGTGAAAAAGTCTATGCCAGACCCCTCTCCACCAGAGGAGGTCTGCCATTTCTTTCCCCTTAGTCCTCTTCTTGCCTTTCTGTTGTACCAGTACATTTCATTTAGTCCCATTTTAATACAGCCCTTGACTGTGGGGTCCAAGTGTCTGTTTGCTAGCAGGTTCCTGGCCTCCCCCTCAGCTGTTGCTGCTGTAGTGCTGCTTAGGCAGTGCCTTGGGCAAGGACAGAGACAACCCTCCTCCACCTCTGCCTTGACCTTTAGCTCTGCCTGCCCCCCGGGGCAGGGTGGGAACACAGGCTCAGAAGGAGCAGGTGAGAAGCAAATCCAGACCAGAAGGAGGCTCTGGGGCCCAGCCCTGCAGGTGGGAGCGTCCATTGAATGGACATCTTGGAAGAGATGGGCACAGCCCGTCCATCGCTGTTGCAGGCAGCAGCAAAATACAGTCTTGTTCATAAGGCAGGTCGCAGTCCCAGCAGGACTTTTCAGGCCTCCTGCCCCCAGTACTCTTATGCGGACTCTGTTCTAGGGCCTCGTTTCACCAAGTGTTAGAAACCCTTTTCCATGGGGCCACGCAATGAGAGGAAGCCCCACTTGTTGGAGGAAGGGGCCCCTTGTAGGAGGGCAGCTGAGGCACTCCCCCTGCTTCTTGGGGCCCGAAATTCCCAGGACTTTGGTGAGAAACAGGCTGTGCCTGCTAGTCATAGTTGTGGTCTCTGTGTCTGGGAGATAGGATCCTGCTGCTCACGTTGCCTCAGTCTCTGTCCTGGCCTCATTGCAACCAGTAAAATGTAGCTGGAACATGGTTCTGAAGGGGCCATGTGTTGGGGGGTGGTAGCTCTGGGGAACAAGGCAGCCTCCTCCCCTTCCAGAGCAAGAGGTAACTGGGGGCTGTAATCCATGACATGTTCCCAGCTGCAGGGGCTGGGGTTCAGCCGCATGCATGGAGTGGATGGCAGCAGGGGCATGCTGGAGATTGCACGCCAGAAGGGGCTATACCAGGAGCTGAAGCACTGTATTCTGGGCCAGGAGCCCTTGCCACTGCCCACAGGTAACGAAGCCAAGCTGCATTCCTGGAGGCACTCAGAGATGGTGTTTTGCCCCTCTGGACAACTCTCAAGGAACAGGAGGGGGTGGTCCTGTGTCCAGGGATATGACAGTTATCCCCATGGAAGAGGTCACTCCTACAAGACCAGTGTGGTGAGGAGTTAATGATGATCCCTGAAGTCCCAAGGAGGGCAGATGCTGTCTTACCCAGTGGCTTGTGACAGAGCCAGTCCCTTGGCAGAGAGGAGCAGGGGAGCTCTTCCACTAAGTGACAGACCATGGCAGCAATGCCCTGCAGGAGGGAAGGGGGCTGCAGGAGGGGATAGGAACTGGATGTCCTTCTGCCTTTCTTTTCCACCAGGCCAGTACGATGCAGTAATCATTGTAGGGGCACTCAGTGAAGGGCAGGTGCCCTGCAGCGTGGTCCCAGAGCTGCTCCGTGTCACGAAACCAGGTGAGGTTGGTTGGTCAGTCTGTCCCCCTGTGTTTCCCTCCTGCTCCTTACCACTGCCTCCACAGACTTCCTGCTCTAGTTCTAGGGCACAGCTAGCCCTGCCTAGTGCAGGAACTGAGGATCTTACTAAGGAACCCCCTGTAAAATGGCATCTCCTCCCCCCTCAGATCAGCTCCCTACAGCCTGGGGAGTATCAGCCATTTCTGGGATATCTCCCATCCCACACAGTGCAGCTCCATGGGAACATTACCACTGAGTTCGCTAAAGCATCCAAGGCATTGGCACCTCTAGTCCTGTTGTCCAGCTTTGCTCTGAACAGGGATCATCAGGACAGTGGCAGCAATGCTGGTGTCTGCTCTGTGCCACAATCCCAGCAGAGGAGCTGTAGTGGTGGAGTGGGCCAAGAAACCTAGTGGGCCCTCCCAACAGGATGAGAAGGAGGTTAAAGCCCACAAATACCAAGCAGTCCTCAATTCTGAGAGCTGGGCCCAAGGGCTGGCTCTGTGAAAGGTGCGGAAAACAGGAGAGTAGGAGGATTCAGATACAGAAATGTGCTTCTCCCCTGAGGCCTGTATGGGAGGCTTGGGTTCTGGTGCTGTCTGTGAGGGGAGATGTTAATATCCCCATTCACTGTCCAGCCACAGAATTCCCCACCCCAGCCTCTACAGTGGGAAACTGCTCCCTGCAGAGCTAGGGGAAGGAGCAGGAGGTGCTCCAGGCCAGTCTTCAGGGCTTGGCAGTTCCCAGGAGCACTGCCAACCTGTTCTGTGTAGGTTACTGTGGGTGAGAAGCACTGGTTACACATGGACATGACTCTGATCAGGCCAGTGAGACTGGACTGCAGTGCTGCATCTCTCCTGGGAACTGAATCAAGACCCAACAGTGCTACCGCATGCTGGAAGCATTTGGTCGTGACGTAGTGACAAAGATGCTGGCTCACTGGAGGGCTTGGCCCCTTTGCATCAAGAGTTGCTTGTTGGGAGCTTTTGCAACAGATGGCAGTAGGCTGCACTGTTGTTACAGCACCAGTGTGAATGCATACAGAAGCTACTGTCACTCACCTTTAGTACTGGTGCCCTGCACATGCTGGCTCAGCTGGGACCCTCTAGCAGCCCATCCAGGAAAGCATCTGAGCAAGAAAGGAGGCAGTTCCCTTAGGAGCCTCTGGGCTACCCCCAGTCCCTTTTGCCCCTGCCCTTTCCTCTTGCTTCCCCCACCCCCCCAGTCCATAAGCTGTTCCTATTCTCTTCCCATCTTGCTTTCATCCTGTTTGTGGCTTCAAGTGCAATGGGCAGGATGGCAAGGCAGCTGTGACGGGCCACCATCCATGGTCCCACCAAGGAGTAACCTACTCTTCTCCCCCTCAGGAGGGTTCTTGTGCCTGACCACAAGGACCAATGTGACAAACCTGCAATACCTGGCCAAGTTGCAGGGGATGCTGGAGGACCTGGAGGAGCAAGGCCTGTGGGCAAAGGTCTCTACCCAGGAAGTTGAGAAATGGGAGAAGGCAACTTCAGGGCAGGAGAGCACCCAGAACTCAGACTACATCTCTGGGGTGGTGTACATGTACCGGAAGTGCTGAGGAGCCAGGGCCATAGAGGGGTCTGTCTTCTCTTGCCTCTGCAAACCTACAGAGTCCATGTATACTCTCTCTGGTCCTGCT